TCAACTGAATCGAATCAGAAAAAGCTTCCAGAGGATAAATATCTGCAGAGGCCAGCTTACCTCCCCATGATTCTCTCCTTTCTAGATTCTTGGATGTTCTTGTTTACCATCATTTTAAAATTTTTGTTAATGCCATTAAGCATACACAAATGCATACAAAGACATGCAAGTGCACATGCATGTATGTGTATGTGTGTGTGCATGTGTGTGTGTATGTGTGTGTGTATGCTTGGAGTAGTGGTTATGTGTTGGTCTGTGTCCTGCTTAGTCCAAAGTTGGGAAGCTCCAGCAGCATCGCAGGGGAAAGACTGGGCTTTCTACTCCTGTAAACAGTTACAGTCTCGGACACCCACAGAGGGTCGCTATGAGTCATCATTCACTTGATGGCAGTGCATTTAGTTTTGGTTTGGTTTGTGCTTATATGTGATATATTTCAAACAGTGCTCAGTGAGATGGCTCCATTTCTGTTGGTACGGAATTGTGCGTTAGAGGATTTTTGATGGTTTATATTTTGCAAGTAGATCATTAGGTCTTTATTTCTAGGCTGCTCAGGATGGACTCAACATTTCAAACATGACCAGCACACTATCAAAAAGCCTGTGCTTATGAATTGCGCTGATCAGTGCAAGGTCAGCAGTTTGAAACCACTGCTTCTCTGTGGGAAACACAAAACCTTCCATTCCTGTAAAGAGCAACCGTGTCAGAAACCCACAAGAGAAGTTCCACCATGTCCCATGGGTTTCTGTGAGTCAGAATTGACTGCACGCTGGTAATGCTGGATGCTGAAGTGGGAGGCAGGGACATCACAGGCTGGGGGTGCAGAGTTGTGTGGATCCAACATTGATGGGCACATGGGAGGGTGCCCACAGTTCTTAGGGTCAAGTGACCCTCTTGGGACCACACCTGGAGGCAGGCAGTTCCAGCAGGCAGGAAGGCAAAGGGGCAAGAGGGAGGGCATGGAAGGTTCCCTGTGTCCCCACAACATGCTATAACCTTGAATTGAAAATTCATTTGAAGCTCTGGGGAATAAGTACAAGCAATCCTAGGGTTAGAACAGAGTTCCGGTCCTAAGTGCACATTTAAGTTGAATGAATAGATGAGATAACAGCTGTATACTTCACTTTGGTTGCACAATAGGTTAAGTATTGGGATAGTCACTGAAAGTTTGGTGGTCTGAACCTACCAATTGCTCTGCAGAAAAGAATTTAAAAAAGGAAGCTGTCTGCTTCTACAAAGATTTACATTCTTAGAAACCACATGGAATGCTTCTACTCTGTCTTTAAAGCCATGTCTGAGTTAGAATTGACTTGATGACAATAGATGTGTGTGTGTGTGTGTGTGTGTGTGTCTTGGTGCTGCAAAAGCCTTGAATCTTTTCAATGCTTTAAACATTGTGCAAGCAGCGGTCATGATAATGAATTGGTTACAATCTGAGCTTGGTTAGGGATTTCAAAATGAGGGCAAATTTACATAACACAGAGAGCAAGGCTTAGTTGTTCATCATTTTGGAATTGGTATTCTGAGAATTTACACTCTGCTGTGTAGTTTGGTGAGAACCTAAAAGGGGGATATACTTACAGCTGTGGAGGTCAGTGACAAATCACCCACCCGAACCTATACCCGTCTGACTCAGGCCAACCCCATACTCAGAGTCTAACTGAGCCAGCGTGTTTCCCAGGGGGTTCCTCTTCACAGGATTAGCCTCTACACCTGCTTCTGCAGAGACATCTGTTGGTCCCCCCCCCCCTTTTTGGTTGTCCACGGAGTATTTTATCACCCACATGGCCAGAGCTCCTTGACAGATGATAACCTGTCTCAGAACCCAAATAAGATATATGACATATGCAGGCAATCAAAAGTGTCCAGCTAACAACCATACAGCTTAAGATAGTTCAGAAAACAAGTGTAATTTAGTTTTTCTCTGCATCACACCCTTAATATTCAACTTCTTTTTGTGCTTACCTTCCCACAGTATCTCTCTCAAAGCTCATTGCTCCTACAATTTTCTCTCAGTAGCAGTTTCCATTTCTCTAAAACACTCATTGCACCATTGATTTTTTTGGATATGATTTTTATTTTCATATATTTATTTTTATCAGTTTTGTTGCCTTATAATTATGAAACAATTCATTATTTCAATCATATTAAGAAGAGTTATACAATCATCACCACAATCAATTTTAGAACATTTCCTTCTTTCTTATACTCATTGTTATTAGCTCCTAATTTCCCCCCACCTCTCCTGCAATACCCAAAGAGACCGTTAAACTAGTTTCTGTCTCTATAGATTCAGGTATCCTGGATTTCATATCTAGAAAAAACACACCAAAGGAAAAAACTCACAACAGTAACAAAATGAAACAGAGAAAAACCTCAGTGTAAAAGAAAGCAGAACATCATAAAAACTAGAACAAACAAAATGAATCAAAAGTGAGATCAAGTGATAAAGTTTAATTTTATTCTAATGACATCTTCAAAAATCCACTTTCCAATGCACCCATTATGATTGCAAGGCTGCTCCTAACGCTGGGCTATGTATGATCCAGTTGCTTCCTGGGAGGCTTAATCCAAGTGTATTTCTGTTTTGTTTTGCTTTTTTAACTGGGTCTAAAAGGAGATCAAATGATTACATTTTAACATACCTATAGCTACTCTAATCAACTTTACAGTGCTCTCTGTCTCATAACAAGGCTATTCACATCCTTCAACTGTGGTAGGAAAGGATTCATTAGAAGCTTAGATCATATGTGAACCCCACAAATGGATTTGGGTCCACCATGGATCTTAAGTGAACTCTGCCTTGAACACATTATTAGTTCAGCGGTTTCTTAAATGCCCAAGTTCTTCTACTTTCAAGAATTAGTGTTTAATTTCCTTTTGGGGTTAATATCCAACATGCGCAATCATCTTTTAAAATTTTGCCACCTCGTTTATATAAGCAGGAGACACTCAACTCAGATGAACTCACTGTGATTGCATCAGTGCTGACTCATAGAGACATGTAGGACATGGTTTAATTGCTTGCGTGGGATTCTGAGACGGAGAGTCTTTATTGAAGTAGAAAGCCTCATCTTTCTCCTGAGGAGCAGCTGGTCATTTCAAACTGCTGACCTTGTAGTTAGCAGCCCAACGCATAACAACTATGACACCCAAGCTCCTATTCCCTGGAAAAAGACAGCAGGCCTGGTGAAGTAGCGGATTAGCAAAGAAGAGCCTCAGTTAAGTGAGCTGATAAAGTAGCTGTAATACTGGGCCGCAATAAAGCAAGAGTGGTGGAGATTGGCAGGACCAGGCAGCGCTTCATTCTGGTGTACGTAGTCTCACTGAGTCAGACCCTACTGGATGGTGCCTAACAGAAGTAATAATAGTTTATTTATGATTGAGAATGAATGAGGATCTGTGTTCAATTAAGAACTAACATTTGATTTGGTATTATTTATAAGGTAATAAGCACATTTCCGTTTCAGTAGGCATTTTCCCATATTTACTGACATTTTGTGTTTCTCACACAATTCTTGTTTTCCATTCTATATTTAATAACAGCAGCACTGTCATGAAGGCAGAGCATAGATTTAATTTGATTTATGAGGGCTACCCCCCAAAAAAACAGGATATTTTTCCCCAAAGCTGTGCATTTAAATTTTTTTTTTACCACACAACCTGTTCACCTTCAAAGTACTCTTTATTACACTTAATACACTTGTCAAATCTGAGATCCCATTCTAGGAAACATTTTTCAAACTCATCTGTGTGGATGGCTGACAGCCGCTCCATTTTTTTTCTTCACTTCTATTTTGTCAAATCATTGTCCTTTTATGTCCATCTTTATTCACAGAAACAAAAAGAAGTCCCACGGAGTGAGGTCGAGTGCATGGGGCAAGAGAGGTATGCTGTTTTTTTGCCCAGAACTGGTTCACTGAGATGGTTGCTTGAGTAGGGGCATAGTCATGGTGGCAAAACCAGTCCCCCGTCTGCCACAAATTAGGTCTTTTTTGTCGCATGTTCTTTTGCAATCTTACAGAAATAGAAAAAACCTTGATTAACAGCTTGACCTGGTGGAACAAACTCCAAATATCCCCTCACATAAAAAACAAAACCAAAAACAAACGAATATCATCTTGATCTTTGATTTCACTTGACAAGCTTTTTTGGGGGCCAGGTGATAATGGAATCTTCCACTGGCATGATTGATGATTGCTTCCAGGGTTGTAAGAATAGCCCCCCACCCCACCCCACCCCCACCCCGTCTCCTCACCAGTAATGGCCTAGCGGGAAAAAGTCTGGGTGCTTTGGGGCTGTTCTTTCAAAGCAAGCCAAGTTTCCAGTGGAAGCTCTTTTTCCTGGTCAGTCAGAACCCGAGGCACACATTTCACAGAGACCTTTCTCATTCTCAAATCTTCATTAAAATCTGCTGAACTGAGCTCCAAGGTAGTACAGAAAACTTGCATATCTCTTCAATGGTCTGTCATCGGTCTTTGAGCACAAGTGTACGAAATTTGTCGATGTTTTTGTCCATTTGGGAAGCTAACGGATGTCCAAAGTGAAGTGTGTTGTCATCAATCAACATGTCACCTTTTTTGAAATGAGAAAACCACTCATGCACTTAAGTTCTTCCCATGGTGCTGGTCTTGTAAGCTATGCTCAACATCACAACAGTTTCTGTGGCATTTTCCCCACAGCAGGAAACAAAATTTCACAAACACTGTTCTCTTAAATCAATCATCACAAAAACCTACTTTTGAGGAAAGTTGTTTTTATGAAAAAATTCACTATGACCAGAGAGATACTTTCCAGGCGATACAACTAGGTGCCCTAACTCAGAGGAAGTGGCTGGATGCTGGCCCAGGCGGAAAATGCATACTACGAAAGCTCCGCCCAGCCTAGCTTTTTCCAGAGTTTCTTTTGGTCCCTCCTGTATACCTTTAATTTATTTTTCTTAAAACATCATGGCTCGTTAAGAGCAAGATTGGCCTAGCACATCCTGCATCTTTTCAGTTCTTTTAAAAGTTCAACTTCCTCTGGAAAAGCAGGTTAAAGATTCCCTGGCGGATCTGCTTCGTTTTCACACTGTAAATGATGGGATTCATTACAGGAGGAACCAACAAGTAGACATTGGCAATAACCACATGAACCAATGGTGAAGCATGTTTTGCAAAGCGGTGAGTCATGGACAAACTCACCATGGGGACATAGAGAACTAGAACAGCCAGAAAGTGAGACAGACAGTTATTGAGGGCCCGTAGGCGCTCAGTCCAGGTGGCTCTCCCAAAGATATTTTTCAAGATGAGTGAATAGGAGAGCAAAATGAGTAATGGGTCTAACACAATAATGAGAATACCCAGAGCAAGTCCATACCAGCTGTTGACTCGGATGTCAGCACAGACCAGACGGATCATATCCTGGTGGAGACAGTAGGAGTGAGAGAGAAGGTGTGAGCGGCAGAAGGGCAGGCGCTTGAGCAGGAAAAGAGGGGGAAGAACAGCGAGAACACAGCGACAAATGATGGCTATGCCAATCTTGCCAATGACTTCATTGGTGAGGATGGAGGCGTAATGGAGGGGGCGACAGATGGCCACATAACGGTCAAAGGACATTGCCAGCAAGACAGAGGATTCCATGAATGAAAACCCATGCAGGAAAAATAACTGAGCAAAACAGGCTTCGAATCTGATCTTATTATTGTTGAACCAGAGGAGCTGCATGACTGTGGGCAGGGTGGTGAGGGTGAGACCCAGGTCAGTCAGGGCCAGCATGGAGAGAAATAAGTACATGGGCTGGTGGAGAGACGACTCTTTGTGGATGACAGTGAGAATAGTGGTGTTGCCCATGATGGAGATGGTGTAGAAGCAGCCAAAGGGAATGGAGATCCAGATATGAATGTCCTCAAATCCAGGGATGCCCGTGAGAATGAAGAAAAAGGGATCTTGGGTGGTGTTATTTACCGTGGACATGACTGATGGATAAGGATCCAGAATCTCTGTTTCCCACAATAAGAACATCATTAGTGTGTTATAATCAGATAGTCATTATTTATTCATTTCAAGACTCAGTTGTGTTTGGATTACTTTTTAGAATATTGCTGAGCTATATAATTAGCTATAATTCTAACAGCCTATAATGGATGAGCCCCTGGTTTTTATTTTAGAACTGTTTGGATTATGGTAGCAAAAATGTCTTTAATATGAAGCCCTAAAATAATAGATTTGGAGTATATGTATGCATATGTATGTATGATATGTATGTGTATATGTATGTATAGTATATGTATGCATGTATGATAAGTTTGATGTTCATATGAGCTATCTAAGAGAAATAATTAAATGGATGGATACAAGGCTCAAGTGTTTCCAAGTGTGAGTATGCATAAGCATATAAGAAGTGTTGTGGGAACAGAAAAAAGATGAATCATGTGAAAGTATTTTAATGATGAGAGGATTCTGGGATTTATACTGCATGTGGCAAATGACTTGTGGTCATATGTCAGCTAAAGTTTGGTAGTTGTTCCCAAAGGCATCAAAAAGAAAAGACCTGGCAATGTGCTTCTATCACCTCAACAGCCAAGAACATCCAATGGATGAACTCTGTTCTGTCCACACCCAGTGTCTCCATGCAGCAGAACTGATTCAACGACACACAGCAGCACCCAGGGATGTACTTCCAGCCTTCAAATCATTCTTCGTACACTTTACATTCCTAGAGACTCTCTACCAGTGGGAGTGATGGGGACTCTTGCATTATGTATTGTGGTAGTTTGTTCAGGGTTTGGGGTTTTTACTAGCTCTGCTTCTTTGCTGCTCTGACTTGTCTTTGTGGTCAGGTTACAGTCAATATTTTTACCTATAATGGCTTCTGGACCTCACTGTGGCATAGTTGCCTGGTCGGGAAAACATAGTCGCTCCTTTAGAGAGGTGTGGGTCAGGAAGCCCTGCCTAGTTCATGCCGTTTGTGTACATTCTCCATTTAAAGGATCCGGACTCACTTTAGAAGTTTCTACAACCTCTAAAGGACATTGGGTGAGCCATTTTCAGGGCAGAGAAGAAGACAAGGGAAATAGAAACGTAAGGGCTATCATCCAGAAAAGACAAGTTTTCAGGATAGTATTTGTTGATCTGCGACTGAATCTATGAAAGCAGCTGACTCTTCCTAATCTGCTTTGCAAACATGCAGACATCATTGGTCCCAGATTAGGTTCAAAAGAGACAATTAGGAGTAGGGATACTATTTGAATCAGTCGGAGATATAATAAAATGTGGACAAATCATTTCATGTTTTCTAACACATTTCTCTAACCCAGTCCAGCATCCTAACAATGGGTCTCGGAAACGGATTCTTTTTACTCTCTCCCTAGCAGAATCTACTGGTTTCACCCATAATAAAAATGTCCCCAGGTCTTCCCCCTCCTGCTATCATTAATCATTCATTAAATATCCCCACCTCACCTGCGCATTCTCTGTGATCCTCCAGCACTCCCTGTGATTTCTGTTGTCTGCCTCATGGCTGGGTGTATTTTTATACTCCTCACGATTCCAGGTTAGGCTGCAGGAGGTGGGTAGGGGAAAACTGTGGGAGAATATTGGAGGAATATGAGTATTACCCTCTGAGATTTGAGTCCTAAGGGACAGAATACAGAAGCCAGTGATTCGTTCAGGAAAGGCACCTGTAGCCACTGGAAACTCTTTTACCAAAAAGAAAAAAGCCTCACTGTTCCAAGAAAGTAATTTGCTTTGGAATTGAAGGAATGTTCTCTTGTTAATTCTGCACAGCTCTCCAGTAAGTTGAATGAACTTAGTGGACATGGGGAAAATGTACATTTTTTTTTTTTTTTTT